TGGGACTGATTATTGCTACTGCAATTAATTTATATGATGTCAAAATACTACCTCTATTATTAGCTGGTATTGTCTGTGGTTCTGCAGTATTGATCAGTCACAGTCTCTTCAATGGTTATCTTATTACTACTCCAGTGAATACAGTTAATCCAGTCAAACTGATAGTTAGAGTATTGTGTTATGCCAGGAAGCACAAGTATCCTGAGAATCGTAGTGCTCTGACCTACTGGGAGGAAGAGGCTTATTTAAGACTAGACCTGGGTAAGGATAAATATGGTGGACCATTCACAGAGGAAGAGGTAGAAGATGTGAAGACTGTTCTTAGATTAATACCACTGGTGGTTATTTGTGGTGTGACATCAGCATTATATGAAGAGAATATTTTTGGATGGAGACTTGAAGGTTATGGGTGCCATAGCCCTGGTAATCTTCAGTTATCTTTTTGTATAAGATATGTATTTATCATTTTCCTCCACCAGTTTCTCATATATCCTTGTTTTTATAAGTACATTCCTAGTATGCTAAAGAGAATAGGAATTGGTCTGACACTAATAGTTCTTCTTAATATTGTCTACACTGGACTAGCTGTCATTGGTAATTATCAGTTTGGACAAATGTTTCACTGTCTCACTTCTTTTGTTGATACAGTGTAATTATCCATCCACTATTGGTCGTCAATGGACTATCATCAGATATGTCTTTGAAGCAGTTCTTTGGTATATTTCCAATGTTGTATTAATCGAATTTATACTTGTTCAGTGTCCTAAATCTATGAGAGGAACTATGATTGGATTGTGGTTCTGTATCTGGAATTTGAGAATCTACATTCTATTAATTTTACGTTATTCCTTCCATTCCTTCATTTCATGAATCCAGAGGCTTCAATTGGTCGTGGATTCTTCTTTCACCTGGCAAGGACCATTTCGACTTTATTACTTTTACTTGTTTATATATTTCTTGCTAAAAGGTACAAGTTACGTGCGAGAGAGGTTAAAATTAACATTTATCAAATTGCTGAGAACCACATCATTAATGATATTGAACAAGAAGAGGAATACTGGAGGAGGAATCCAATAGAATCCTCCAGCCAGTCAACTGATATCATAACCTCAGGATGTTAAGAACTGGAACAATGCTTTTTGAATTTTTTTCAGTTTGTATAATATTCATTGATAGTTCCTTTGTAGTTGTTTGCTTTCATTTTCATAATTAATGTTTTCTAAAGCTTCCAATAAAGGGAAAATATCAATTGTTATAACCTTATGCATGCACTATTATTGCACCTCAAATTAATGTCATTATTATTAAATTATTATTATTAAATTATTATTATTATCGTTACACTGGTTAGGTTCAGATATATCTGTACAGTCACTTAGCCACTGAGTTCTGTATGTCTAAACTGCGCACTACATCACTTGATTTACGTGACATTATTGGAGTGAACCAGTTAATGTTCATTCTTAAGGAACACTACACACTAACTAATGGAAGGGAAACTAACAAAGACTATTAGGCCATATCTTATACTGATGATTAAACAATTTGTTACTAAAGTAAGTGATGATTTTTTATTATTTAATTATTATTCCATTATGCTATTAGGGTAAAGAAACACGTTTGGATGAACTAGTATCAATATGGAACTTCTTACTGTCAAGTAATACATTAGTGTAGTTTTTAATTTTATTTTAATTTTGTTTTTTTAGCTACACACACTCAGTTAGAGGCTCAGTTGTCCGATGCTTTCAAAGAGGACGATGAAGAAGAGAAAGGTTTTGTGTCTCTCTCTGTTCGTGAGACCAACAGTGATAGTGATAGTGATGATAGAGATGAGTCTCGTAGAATTGGAGTCCTGACACACCTCCAGTTTTGGGACATGATCATATCAATCCATTGGCTAGTTTTGAGTCGAGTATAATATCAGTTGATCTTAGCAGTAGTACCTTAATGAGTACCTCAGTAGTTGAAGTTGAGGTAATTAACATTAATTACACAGCTACATGTATGTATATGTATATGTACTTGTACTTGTATATATGTACATGTGCATGGTCATAACCAAATTGTTGTGCTCATACTCAATGTATTAACTTGTATGAAAATTGAGAATTTGAATTCTCTACCTTTTAATTTTGGTGAAATTTGGCTAAAGTCCCTGTACTAAGTTTATTAACAATTTTTCAAAACAGATGAGTAGGATCCACTTTGTGCTAATTTGTCAGAAAAGTAATGGGAATAAGGACAAGTAGGATTCCAAATGACCAACGAAAATACGAAATGAAAATCATACTGTCGTGATGTAAATTCTACTCTACATTGTACTTTCAACATTATTATAATAAGAAATTACAGATAATCTTGTAATGTAGAGTAGAGCACATGTCTATGTGTATGTGTATACATC